CCTGAAAAACTGTTGCAGAAACCTAAAGTAATACTGGATAGCCAAGCAATACATAGCTAAAAAATACGACAGTATTCCAGAGGAATGGTAGTTTTCCTAATACAACATTCTTATAAAAATGCTAGATTACTGTAAATTAATAATGGATGTCTAAATACTCTACCTTTTTATTTGGGGGGAAATACTATAGTATACTACAGTAATACTGGCCCTCCAAACATTACACCCTTATAAAAGATACTGCAGTACTCTAGAATGTTACTGTTTTCCAAAGAATTCACCCTTAAGGAAAATACTGAGGCAATATATAGTAATAGTGAATGCTGAAATATTGTTCCTCTGGAGAAAATAATACAATATTATAAAGCAATAATGGCTCCCCAAATACTATACCTGTTATAAAAATGCTAGAGTAATAACGGATGTCCAAATACTGCACAGTTATAGAAATGTGAGACTAATCTAGAGTAATACTGGCTATATTTGATTGCTGCAGTAATCTAAAGCAATACTGGATCCCAAATAGCATACCTCTGCAAAATACTGTGGTAGTCTAGAGTAATAATGAATATCCAAATATGGCACTCTTATAAAGACCCTGGAGTATATAGTGTAATAGTGGCACTTAAATATAGCCTTGGAAAAATTTGATAGTAATCTAGAGTAATAATGGTTCTCAAACACACTCTTATAAGAATACTAGAGTAATTTTGAGTACCAATGGCTCCCTGAAAAAAAACCACTTATAAAATATTACAATGATATAAAGTACTCATGACTCCAAAACACACTTTTGTAAGGATACTAGAGTAATCTAGAGTAACCATGGCTTGCCAATACAGTTTGGAAACTATTCTCACTCTAGATTATGCTAGCATTTGTATACACTAAACTTCTATAAATAGTAAGCTAATTAATAGTGGCTCCCAAACACACTTCTAGACTAATTTAGAGTAATAATATCTTCCAAACACACTTTGGAAACAAATAGTACTCTAGATTATTCTTGTTTTCTTAAAAAAAGATGCTTCTCTAAGAATAGTAACCTACAGCAATAAGGCTCCCAAATACATGTTTATAATAATACTATTGTAATTTAAAGTAATAGTGTCTCCCTAACACACCCTCAGAAAATCATGGAGTAACGTGGAGTAATAACCGGTCCCAAATATACCCTTGTAAAATACTAAAGAAATTGGAGTATTTATGGCTCCCAAGTATGCCATGATAAAAATACTAGAATAATAATGTATCTCCAACTGCTAGTCCTCCCAAAGTACACTGCAGCATTCTGGAGTAATAGCCCCAAACACTGCCATGTCACTATCGTATTGGGGTTCATTATTCTAGTACACCAGAGTATTCCTACAAGTATCTGGGGCAATTACTCTGGGATGCTGTAGGGAGAGTGGGGGGGGGGGTTGGGAAGGGGGAGTTATCCCAGAGCAATGTCAGCCACCCCTGGGTATTAACAGTCTTCAAGGCACCCTACGGTGGAACTATCTTGTGGCCAAACGCCACTATGAGCGTTGGCGTGGGGAGGGAACAGGCAGAGAGGAAGGGCATAGACTGCTCCAAACCACATCGGGGGGACTGTGGCTGGTCCCTCACCCCAGATGGAGGAGTGATCAGTGGTCAGGCCATGAGGAGACACCCCATCAGGACCCATCTAGCCCATAGCCAGCTGGGGCACAACCATCCCTGACCATCGGCTGCCCAGGAACCCTACTTTCCAATGTCCCCGCAATGGGGGGACGTACTTCTGTCCCCGCACCTCGTCCTTACCCGCTAGGTCGTCTTCCTGACTACTGTGTCACGCTGTTGTGTTTTATAGCATACGTGGGGGCGTGCGCGCACACACACACACACACACACACACACATACAGTATGTGTGTGTATTTCTATTTATATACGTGTGTGTATTCACACACACGCTATACACAACACATTTCTGCATGCTGCATATAGTATACATTAACATATGTGTATCTAGCTATACGCATAGGTGTGTATTTATTTATTTATTTGTGATTGTGTGTGTGTGTGTGTGTATATTTGTGATTGTGTGTGTATATATATATATTTGTGATTGTGTGTGTGTGTGTGTATATATATATATATATATATATGTGATTGTGTGTGTGTATATATATATAAATGGATATCCAAATAGCATCTCTTTGAGAAAAATATTATGGTAGTCTTCAGTAACAATGGCTTGCCAACACCATTGTAAACATCTCAAATATTATATCCCCATTTAGTTCTAGTTATGCTACATAACTAGTTCTAGTGACGCTATATAAAACGATATCCTGTGGCTAGGTAGCTAGATCGAGATACCTACGGTGTATACTATATACGTGTGTTTGAGTGTCTCGCTCAGTGGCTATAGACACAGCTGTCGGTGTAGCCGTAGCTAAATCCTGCTCACAGAGAGACAACCTGCTGTATTTGAGGTGGGTCCCACCGGACCGCTCTCTGACTGGGAGCGGGGGGGCATCCTGTCTAGATCGGGGAGAAGAGTGAGGAGCGTTGTGCTGTGCAGAGCACATACAAACACACCAAATATACTATACAAGCAGGGTGGGCACGGAATGGGGCCAGGTCCCAGCTGGTGTCATTCAACTTTGCTCCACTGAAGGCAAAGAAGTGATACTAGTTTTATACCAGCTGGGGATCTGGTCCAGTGGATGCGAGAATATATTGGAGGTGATGTGTATGTATATGTACCATGATAGATAGATAGATGTGCATGTGTGTATATATGTGTATATCCTATAGATGTGTGTGTGTGTATATATATATATATATACACACATATGTGTGTGTCTGTGTGTGTATAAACGAATATTAAATATCCTATAGATGTGTGTGTATATATATATGTGTGTGTGTGTGTGTGTGTGTATACAAATATTAAATATACTATAGATGTCTGTATATGTGGATGTATTAAATATATTATAGATGTGTGTATATAAACACGAATATTAAATATGGTATATTTAATTAAACCTCTATCATATATTTAATATTTATATTATGTGTATATATATATAAAAAGATATATAAAGATACACACATATACAGCATATTTACTGTGTATGTGTGTATGAGTATAGATATACAGACACATCTATATTATATTTCCTATATATCTGTATGTCTGAGTGTATATATTTATATTTAAAGATAAATACACACATCTATAGGATATTTAATATTTATGTTTATATTTGTATATATAAATAAAGATGCATAAAGACACATCTACAGCATATTTATTGTGTGTATAGACAGTATATTTCTTATATATCTGTATGTGTGCATATATATGTATATATAAATATAAGTATGCATATATAATACATGTACAATATGTATATTTACTATATCTATATCTCATATATAATATCTATATATCATATATAGATATATGTGTAGATATTTAGATTTATATATACACACACACATACATACATATAGGAAATATACTATACATGTCTATATCTATCTTTATATAAAAATATATGCATTATATATTTACTGTGTGTATAATATATATATATATATATGTTGTATATAAATAAATACACACATACATATATAGTAAATTTACTATAGATGTTTATCTACCTTTATATATGCATATATATGCACACACACATATATATAAAATATCCTCTGTGTGTCCTTTTATGTATAAGTATATATCTACATTCCCATATATATAGTAGCTATACTATATATGTGTGTAACTATGCATACATACATGTATCACAAATATACTATATACCTATGTATAGCGTGTCAAAATATACTACACACACACACACACACACGCACACACACACACACACAGAGCCAGATTCACAGCTGGTACAAATGATGACAGTTCTGTGGATTTAGGACCACTAACAATTCATATCAGCTGCGGCTTGGCCCCAGGGTCTAGCCGTGATATATAGTATGTGTTCTGTGTATGCGCTCACAATCCCTGTACCTACCTACACAACCTCCATTCCACCGTGTCTGCATTCCCAGCCCACCTTCCGAAAAAGAAAAAAAAAAAGAACAAACCAAACTTAGATTTTTTGATCTTTTTTAAACAAAACACAAAAGTGAACAAAAAAAAAGTCGTTAAAAAAGGACTAAGAAACAAAACAAATGCGGGAGAAAAATTCCTACCGAGTTGTCAATGTCCCTCGACTTCCCTTTTCGGGTATTGAGC